TATACCAAACAAACCCTTAATCAAAATTTGTTCAAAATTTTTTAGCATTTCAATATACATTAATTTTTTGTTTTGCATTCTAATATTTTTAATAAGGTTTTTTTTTTTATTTTTTTTTATTTTGCACCCTTAGGATATAAGTTAAAAGTATCATTAATATTCTCTCTATTCATTTTTAGTATACTTAATTTAACTTTTTAAACATGAATTCCAAATAAAATTTTAACAATTTATATGAACAAAAATTAAAAAGTTTTTTTTCCTATATAAAGTTTTAGTTGTGTAGTTTTATATGATAAAAAGAATTTTAATTATCATTTGTATAACATATTACATTTTTATTTAAAATTTATGTCTAAAAAGTCAAATAATCAAATTAAGTCTACTAAAAATGAACATAGAGAGTATATCTTTTTATAATTAATTCTCATTCAAAGTGTTAATATTGACTTCTATTTAATTTATTAACCAATTAAAATAATTTATGTTCTATACTATAGTGTGATATAATCTAAATTATAAAATAGCATAGACATATTTTAAAGAAGGGTTTTTTAACCTGTGTCATAAGGATACAAATTAAATTTCATTAATTACGATATCTATAATTAATTTTGTATAAATTTTCATGCCAAATTCATATTTTTTAAAATAGATTTTAAGTACAAATATTATATTATATTATATATTTATTAAATATGATATAAAAATTTATACAAAATTAATTATAAATATTATATTTAATAAAACTTAATATGTGCTTTTGATGCACGGCTTAGAAAATTCATTTAGAGGGAGCAAATAGACAACAAAATTAAAATAGAAGTACCACATAAGGTTTAATAATTAGTGAAGCAAAGGCAATCTAAGCATATTGTTACAAGGAGATTAAATGTTACTAATGACTTGTTGGTCCAAATAAAAAGAATTCGATTCTGTTTAAATAAAGTTTCGAGTTCGAGACTTATAAATGGAGAAATAGCTGCTAGCGGAGCTTCCCCCTTATAGGTTTCACACAGATTGATTTCAAATTAGTTGGAGTTCAAAATGACTTTCATATACCAAATTGTTAATACTAAAAAAAAAAAAGGATATTAAATGTTTATAAGGGATAGTTTAACTGATAAAGAGTTAAAGACTTCAAATTAAAAATTTTAAATTCAAATCTCAAGTTAACTAGAAAGAGATTTGGGAAAGGAGAGTATTATCTCATTTTATATATACATCATCAAATATATTGATAAAAAAAAAAAAAATCCTCCTTTAAACCCTATCCAATCCGATTCCATTCCAAGCCCCAAACGCGCCCTAAAGGAAATCCCAAAGAGGAAACCCTGGCTATTATATGCTTTTGCCACGTGGTCAAGATCTTTGCATGCAGTTAGTACTTAGCACTCATTATAAAAACTCGGAAATTGTTCCTTTTGCACGCCTGGGGAGAGAGGATAATTTAAAGTAGGATTTTCATAATATGTGTTATTTTTCTCATAAATATGTATTTAAAAAAATGTACAAATGGATATTAATTTTAGTATTGTTATTAAATAAATAAATTTAATAAAATTTTTAATAAATTAAAAATTAATTTGTATTTTTAATATAAATTCATAGTATAAAAATATGTTTATTATGCATTTCACTTTAAATACAAATTAAAAAAACTTTTAATAAATTCATAGAATTTATTTACATGACTAAGAAGTATAAGCTAAGAAGTGTAAGACATCAACTTGCTAAGTTCCACCCATTAATCTTAAATCTTTCAGTGAAAGGTAATTCTTTTTTGTTATTTTATTTAGTTCACCCATATATTTATAATTTAAATAAGACTTTTTTTATTTTTATTTTTAAAAATAAAAAATATGAAAATTAAAATATCCTAACATCGAAATGGTCATCACAACCATTAAATAAGTGGGTTCTTAATTGAGCCTCATGAAACCAACTACTGTGATGAACGTCTTGAGTGTCAAAATATCCTGATTTTTACCAATCTAAGAGTATCAATGAATTGCTCAACTTAATCACATCTATTAAATCTTTTTTTATTTTTTTGGTTTTTTCCTCTCCATAATTAAGGACTTTGATATGCATAAGATATTCATTTGCTCTATATATGGAGATGGATTATTGAGATGTGGTTCCCTTAATCTTGTTTAACAAAAATTTTACTTTGATTCCATGATTATCCTTTTTGGGTTTTACCGTTGATGTTAACTGATATTAGCAATTTGGGAATTTCCATTTTGTGTATAACAGGGAAGTTTAAACCAATTTATAAGCATCATACCAAGTTTGCTTTATTAATATAGTTACAGATAAATCATTAAGGTTGGGATTAGTGAATTAATTTATAAAATAAAAGTAATTTTTCTTACAACATTCTCAAGTTTAGATGTAGTATATAAACACATAGTTTAAAATAAGTAAAAAGTGAATGAACTTATTTTTTATTATTATATTCATGAGTAGTGAACAAGAAAAAAAGAATTAATGCTCATAATTACATGTTGGTCCAACTAAGTATTCATCATTCATTGATTTAATTAGGCTATGAGCCTAGAACCAACACTAAACACCTCATGAGTTGACATCTCATTAAAAGATGAAATAATTAAGATTTGTATAATTGATTTTCCGCAATATGTATAATTGACTAGGATTGAAATATTGACTAACCATGGGATTAATTATATATATGAGCACCAATGAAGTTAGCAGTTGAAATTGAAAAAAAAGGTGTGTCCAATTTGATGGCTCAAAAATTAATAGAGGGGACATGGGGCCAGGATTAGGAGGAAAGAGTCAAATAGTACAGTGTAATTGCAGATTTAGAAGCTATCTCTTTGTATTGGCCATTTGCGTGACACTAGGGCACAAGATCAAACAAAGCAGCACAGCCACAACCGACGATTCGTGATAGAGAATGAGAGGAGAAGAAGATGCCAATAGCATCGATTGCAATGAAAATGAAAGAAATGGGCCAAATGGATAGGTGGTGGTCAAATAAACTCGACCCTTTGCTTAGACCTGTTAGGGCCTTAGGGGTATCAGTATAAAAATAATATTTAAATCAATAGATATGTGGTGAGGGTTTTGAAAAGAAGATGGTTATTGATGGTTTTTTTTACTTTTGGAATTGTATGATAAAAAATATTTTTTTTTTATTTGTTAACTTATACTTATTTATATATCATGTGATTCTAAATTAAAATTTTTTATTTTAATTAAAAAAATTATTATTAAATTACTTTAATCATTAATAAATGATTATTTTTTATTATATAATCTATTGTGTTATATATGAAAAAATAATATAAAAGTAAACTAAAATAGGTTGGGTATTTTTTACCTGATTAGTCATTTAAATTGGGTTTGGACGGTGGGATAAAAAACTTTAAAACTTGATAAGTACTTTCCAATTTTCATTTTTTAAAAATTTTGTGTAAGTGTTAGTTAGTACCTTTAAGTACATAATTATTTATGTACCAAAAAAATTGTTTTAAAAATTTTTTCTTTTGTTGGGGCAAATTTGCTTCAAGAAGTTGGAATTTGTAAAATGCAATGTTGCATGAAAGTGATGGAATATGCCCTTTATGGAGAGAAAAAAAATCATGTTATATTTCGAACTTAAAATAAGAAGTTGGAATTTGTAAAATGCGATGTTGCATGAAAGTGATGGAATATGCCACTATGGAGAGAAAAAAAAATCATGTTCTATTTCGAACTTGAAAAAAGAAGATTAAAATAAATTTCGAAACTAATAGAAAATTTTTGATCGCCAAAGAAGAGAAGGAGAAAATTTTGAAGCGAATTGGAATCGAATTGAAATATCTAAAATATTTAGATATTGAATTGACATTCATAAAAAAAGAAAATGTGATTTGAGTAATTTTAGGCGTCCGAAATTTCGGTCCCAGTAAAAACCGAAACTGGCCTTTGCCCAGCCCAAGTACTGGGTGGTGGCAAACGTTGGGCCTTTTCCTTTCCTCTTTTTTCCCTTTTTTTTTTGCTTTTTTTAACATCCTATAATAAATTATATAAGATGAGATGGTTCTTTTATTTTTTAAATAATTTTTACACAAATTAAATTTTAAAATTATAGTTTCAAATTTTTAATCAATTAAGCTACACCTTTGAAAGTGTTATTGACTAAATGTAAAAGGTTGTGATTTAACTTGTAAGGAGGTTTAAGAGAATATCTCTTGGTATTAAAAAAAAAAAAAAAATTGAGTCTATTGTTTTATAATGTAAGCTATATTAGATTGTAAAATAAAAATTATTAGATAAAAAAAACTCTAATGTCAAAGAAACCACCCCTCAAACCAAACAAAATTTTGGATTAAAAAATATATATGTTTTCAAAATTAAAAAATATTCTTTCCGACAATTACCTCATCAATTTAGTGGTAGCCATTCTTTTTGAGTGAAGAAAGAAAGTTTAGATTTAAGTTATTAACATAAAGGTAAGATAAGTAATGGGTGCTAAAGTGTTGAACAATCCCAAAAAAAAAAAAAAAAAAAAAAAAAAAAAATCTTCTAAATTGACCCCATTTAACATTCTCCGAATTTTTTTGTCCTGTAATTAATCAAATGGGTACCCAACTAAAAAAATCATGGACTAAAAGCTAGCGTGAAGTAAAAATTGCTGCAGACGCACCAACGCAAATGCAAAGCCAACGTCGTGCAGAAGAGAAAGAATCTGACACTCACTAAAAGGACAAGTTCTGTGCTGTGGACCAGAATTTTCCTCACTTTAATTCCCTCTCCCCACAAAGCATAAATAAAGCCCTCTCTCCCTCTTCAAATCTCTTTTTCTCTAGATGATTATCTTCTAAAACTCACGTTTAAAAAAACTTCAATAATCAGTTTAGGAAAGTTCTTAGAGCTTGTTAGAAGATTCCAACAAAGTATTACAATGAAAAAGGGTGATTAAGAGACATTGTTATGGTCCAGTTTCGATTAGGGTTTGAGATGATGACAAAAATTAAACAGAAGGGGGAAGGACAATAATTAGGAGCTGAACCAAAGTGCAGGCTTTAAGAGCGTAGTAACATGGCCTTGTCGGTTGTTTTGCAGAAGTAACTCCCCCTAATTATCATCAGAGGCGCTTGAGTGCAAAACCAACCCATCTGTTCCTTTGAGAGAAGGTGTTTTTGGGCTTAGATGGGTGAGTAGGAAACACAATCTCTCTCTCTTACCTCTTCTCTCTTCCTTTTTCTATTACCGCATATATACATACATCTCTCAAACGTTCCACTTAGTTTAGGAATCAAGATCTTTTCCTTAATCAATGCTAAAGCTTGTCTTTCTGTTTTCTATTAACTCTTGATTGTGGGTGAGGTAAGTAAACTTTGGTAGGGGCCCCATCTCAGTTTCCTTAATTCTCATGTTTAAGCTTCCTGTCTTTTCATTGTTTTATGGGTTTCCCATGAAATTTAAGCTCTTTTAATGATCCAAAGCACTAGATTTCCCTTGTGTCTTTGGGAATAGGGGGCTGTGATTAGTGTTAAGTTGGTGGGTTTGGCACTAAAATGTCAAATTCAGAGTAAAGATGATTCCTTTGATTAAGAAGTGATCATGGTGAAGATGATGATGATGATGGGTTGAAAAGAAATATACTCCTAGCTAATAAAGGGTAGCAGGAACAGGGAAAAGATCAAAACTTGGATCAAGGGTTTTTGATTTTTTAGAAAAAGAAATCTGGGTTAGATGGAAGTGAGAAGTCAGGACAAGGAAATGGGGATGCCAAGAAGAAGAGATCAGAGTGTTGTTTCTGATACAGTCCTCCCTCAATCCCTAGATCACCACCACCATCACCACCACCCTGTTCACCATCATCAGGTGAATCCCCATATAAACAAAGCCAGAAGAAATCCTGAGCCAGACCCAGATCCGGTTCCGGCCCCGGCAGCCACTCCAGCGGCTAACAGATCAAGCCGGAGATCCCCACAACGAGCTCCAACACCACCGCAGCCCTCACCAGCTCCCCCAGTAGCAACCTCTGCACCTTTGGTTAGATACAGAGAATGTTTGAAGAACCATGCTGCTGCAACGGGCGGTCATGTCCTCGACGGTTGCGGGGAGTTCATGCCGTGTGGCGAGGAAGGCACCCTGGAGTCCCTAAAATGTGCGGCTTGTGATTGTCACCGGAGTTTTCACCGAAAAGAAATCAATGGGGAGTGCCAGTACACCCCAAATAGTTACTATACATATACCCCCAATAAAAATAGTACAAGAAGAGAGAGCATACCTACTCTGCCTCACCATAGATTATCCCATGGATTCTCCATTAGTGCTCCTTCCACCGTCCCAATTGCACCAGTAATGATGACTTTTGGGGGCGGCAATGGCGGTGGCCCAGCAGAATCCTCCAGTGAAGATCTGATAGTGTGTCAGGCTAATGCAGCCGGTCAGTCATCAGTTCAGCTACCATCGTCAAAGAAGAGGTTCAGGACAAAGTTCAATCAAGAACAGAAAGACAAGATGATGGAATTTGCTGAGAAATTGGGATGGAAGATCCAGAAGCAAGATGAAGAAGAGGTGCAGCAGTTCTGTGCTCAAGTGGGAGTGAAGAGACAGGTGTTCAAGGTATGGATTCACAACAATAAACAAGCCATGAAGAAGAAGCAAATGTAAGCAATTAAGGCTCTTTTAACACCCTTGATGAAGTATTACTACTGCAACCATAGAAGTAATAGATCTGGGCAATAATTAGATCAGATGTGCATAAACAAAAAAGGGAACAGCAGCTAGATTTAGGGTTCTTTTCTAGTGCTGATTTTTCTCCGTTTGGCATTAATGTTTGTTAACATTATTAAATCTGTAATCCTGTTCAAGATTATTAGTCTGTGAAATCACAGTACTTAGAAAACATTGACAACAAAAGAATTGTATCCTCACCTTTTTCTTTTTCTGATCGCTTTCTCAGGATTTCAGGAAAGAAGAAGATACAAGCTATATGTGTTACCTATAATCTAATTTTTTTCCCTAAAATTTCATTAGCATATTTATGTATGCAGTTATGTTGGCTTTGGTAAATCATTACTCTTAACTCACCGGTATTTTTAATCATCTAACTTAGTTAGGGTTAGGGTTCTAAGAATTGACTTACACATTTGGGAAATGAAAAATCTCTTGTTTTGGTTTATGTCTATAAATGGGATTTAGATGGTGTTGCTCTACATAAGCATGTCCATAATAATAGAGAAAGATCACTAGTGTTTAATGAACAAATGTTTAACAAAGGTAAACCATTTAGGTACAAAATTTCCCCAATGTTTTAGCTTCCTCTAATAGTTTACCCCTCTC